AAAAAAATAACAAACATGAAACTAAATGATTTCCACATCATACAGACCAAAAATGCGGTGTATGATCCGCATTTAAATATTTTTTCTTTAAATGTTATTTCACACTTTTACCATGGCCGAATCGATCTGTGATGTATTTCCTGTTCCTTTTGGGCGCAGTAATCTTTTCCATAGACCCACGCTATAGGGAGCCTAAGTCACGCCCATCTACTTCCGAACCATGGGTCGCCGGAAGGACAAAAAATTAAAAGCAAGTCCATGTGGCTAAAAACCCACAATGGGGCTAACCCAGCTCTAATCGTGAGTTATGTCTTCCGTTACCTTCCTTTACCTTTCTCTGACAAGCACAGTAACATTTTATTGAATTAGCTGAAATAGTGTTAAACGACAAACATCCAACCCATGTTAGCTGCTTTTTATTGTTGCTAATGATGGAAAATTCCTGTCTTTGGAGTTTCAAAGTCCCACCACCGTTTGTCCCACTGATCACATGTTGACTTTGAGTTTACCAGCAAAGCTCATTGTAACACGGTAGCCCCATTCATTGTGCAATTTACAGGATTTTCCAATCGTTGTGAGGTCACGGTAACATCTGCTTAATGGCCACCTGGGAAAAAGGCCACATTGGATGTGTGGGGTTATGTAAAGTTGTAGCTTAATGACTATTGATGTGGGTTTCACAGGCTTATAAAGCTGGGATTCCATCAGTGTCCCTCCTTTAAAGTCCAGCTTTGCAAGAATAACATCACTGGTGCTTTTTCATATTACTAAACTGTCACAGCAGTAAACTGGTGTCCAGTTGTATCTATCCTGTGTGTTTTACAGGTTTTCTGCTCCATCACACCTGGTTTTAGTAAATGGGTGATAAAGAAGCTGTTGCATAACTTTAGGGTAGACTGAAATGGTAATTAGCTAGTGATTCGGGTGTCAGGGGGCAAGGGTATTAGACATGCAGGGTAGTGGCTTTAAAGGATCAGAGCTGTACAGGTGTCATGAAACAACTAAAACCTGTATCTTACCGAGCTGCCAACGTTGGTCACAAAATCTGCATGAATTTATGAAGGATTTTCCAGAATATCACATAAAATTAAAGATAGTTTTTGTTTCTTCAAGTTAGCCACAGGGTTTCAGTCTGGTGTAGATGAGCTAAATAAATATTTTCTTATAGCTGCAGCCATTGCATGTGTCTGGAATGCTTTTCGAGTTATTGTCTGCAAGTTACAAGTGTAAGAAATGTGAAACAGCTTTGGAAAAGGTTGGCAACCAAACTGAGAGTAAAATAAGGTTAAGTTGGGAACATGGAGACATACTTAAAGACTAAGCTCACTCCTTTTTTAGACATGTTTGCAGTGGTCTCTAGTATAAATTACTGCATTAGTAGATCTCAGTGGGGAAGAATTCTCCAGGGCTTGTGTTTCATGAGGTAGAAATGAGCGAGAGCAGAGGTGTGCAGAACATGACAGGATTTGGAGTCTTATTTCTTGGCCATCTCGCTTCTGATTGGATAACAACATGACTCTACCACTGACTCTGTTTTCTCTGCAACATTGATGTTTTAACTCCACGAATAACACAAGCCTGGAGGAGTTCTACTGTGTGGTTGAGCTGCTAATGCTAACAGTTAGCTTCTACTAGCCAAGCTGCTCTGTGCTCTCTCCTGGATGCTAAACCAACAACAGCTTTCCCCGTTACAAGCCAAGATGGGTGAGTCTATGACTGCTAATTTGATGTAGCTCTGACTGACTTTTCTAATCTGAGTGTTTACGAATATATTTCCTATCAGCGGCTAATGCAGCACGTAGGAGTAAAAGACTGTTTTCAAATTTAGCATGCATCTTAAACTCAGAGTGACCAATCATATATCAAAAATAACAAGTAAAGGGTCTCTCAGTGAACTTGTTCTTTAAGATGTGAATAATGTGCAAAAATGTTGCAGTTTTTTATATGTCATCTGTGATAAAACATCATGCAAATGTTTTATGTGCCCATTAAATGCCATTCCAACTAAAATTTGAAAATGTGTGTCTCAAACTAGTTGCCACCAGGTTCAGCCCAGTAACAAATGTACTATACAGGGATAGTGATGGTACCAAGTGTGACTGTGCAAATGTGTGCAAATGAGTCCTCGTATGAGCTGAAGGAAAATATAGAGAACATTTTTTTTTTGTCTACAGAGAACAAGATGCCTCTGACATTCGTTCTTGCTATGAGGCCAGTAATTCCTGCGGGAGGACCACAGATGTAGGACTAATTTAGTCGCATCCTGAATGCTGACCATTTGTGTTTTTATACCACCCTTTTATTCAGGTTTGCTCCCAAGCCACTGTGACAGTCCCAGCCAATCTATACCGTAAATAATAAACAAACCCATGTGAAAAACACCTTGTCTCAGTGACATTGAGTTTCCATTTTGGTTTAAACTCAGCTCATGTACTTGACTCCTTGTGTAACCGATGCAGCACATCAGCTGTCAGCCTCAGAACAACAAAATCAAACAGAAGCTAGTTGTAGTCCTGGATCATCTCAGAAAACAATACAAAACAACAACAACAACAATAATAATAATAATAATAAGTTCTTCTGAAATCTAAACCATATTCTGGCTCCGCGATTAAATGTCATAATTTTTGGAATAAAGAACACTCACAACTGTTTTATGAAACCCTGCCGGTCATCGCAGGGAGCCTAAGTGACTGCCATATATCACAATGCTTTTTATCTGTTATCAGTCAGGTAGAAAACGAAAGAGAGCACAGGCTTCAGAGGGAAGCACCACCGGGGGAGCATTTCACCAGAGCACATGAAAGGTTACTGGTTGGTTGCATTAAGTACAGCAGAGTTGTTTGTCTCCTGAGTGCAATAGGGACATGGCAGCACACCGCACCATTCGCCCCAGGTGGTCTCAACTCAGACGAGCTTGTTCTGGTCCAGTCTGGACCAAGGGGCTGACGGGTGAGGGGTGGATTATGATGGCGAGTGACTCTAATCATTAAGGTTGACTGAAAAATTTGTGTAAAATTGTTTGATCTGCAGTTTCTGCTGCAAATGTCAGGTTGGTTAGCTTCTGGTTCTTTGTATAAACTTGGATGTGTGTATAAAAAGTGTGAGATGACGTCATTGTTTTATCACATGACCGTATCGTATTTTTGGTATTTAGACAAAAGTAAAAATGATGATCTGGTTAGGCTTTTTTTTCTTTCTCCCAGGTTGTTCATTATTTAGAAACATTGATTTTGAAAAAAGCCTCAGTGCAGGTATAGCGTGCTTTCAGCCAGTATGCTATGAGGGATTTTAAATCTCCCTGCCTGTACTCATTTTATCAGCACAGAGCTTGGAGTTACAGGCTAATACAAGCCGTGACTGGAAGTACAATCAAACTGTCTTCGAGGGTTAGGACCATGCATCCCTTTAAGCCCTCCACACGACAATACTTATTTCCTCTCACTGTCATGCATGAAGACAAAAAATGCACTCAGCATCTTTGGTGGATCCTTTTAAAGTTTTGCATGGTGGATGGAAAGTAAGGACAAATGCATTTGCAATGATGCATTTGTGACTAAAATGTAAATGTCTAGTGGCATGCTTGTATCTAAAGACGTTGTATCTATTTATCCCAAGCTCATCAGTAGATTTGTTGGAGTAAAAGCTTTGAGCCACTTGCTTCTGTGTTTAACTGAAAACCTAATAGCAAGTTTAGAAATTAGCTTCAATTTAACAAAAACGAGAAAACCCTTAAGAACATCTTGAAAGGGCTTTTTCTTTTTGGGGAGAATTTCAGTTTCTCTCTACTTCACCTGATAATCACACAAAGCTCTTAAGCACCACTCTTTCTGAACAGCACAAGCTTTCTACAAAATGATAAAAGGATAAAATTGCTGAATAAAAGTTAATCGGAGAAGTGGGTGCGAAATAAGTTTGAGGACAAACGCGGTGAAGAGAAAAACTCCAGAAATAAGTCATTATGTGGCAGAAAGGCGAGCGGCGGTGTTTATGCTGCGTCAATGTCAAAACACTTAACAAGTAACCAGGACAGGACGTTGCGATCTGGACAGATTCAGCAGCAAACGTGCAAAGTGATCATGACATAAGGGTGATGCAATCAGCAGTCACACTCTTTCATTATTTAAACACTATTCTTTTCAATAGGACCAAAATGTGTGTTTACAGTCTTCGTCTTTCACACACTTGACATAAGAACATTATGACTACTAACTCTAACATAACAACACACTTTCTGCAGGACACTGACTTGCATCCACAAACATGAGAGCACCAAGACATGAAATAAGGGCCAAAAGGCAGAAGATGTTATTGCACATGGGAGTCGAGGCATCCCGGAACCTCGGGGCTGAATTCCACTTCTCCGCAATCTCATCACTATACATGAAAATGTTGCCAGAAATGAAAAAAAAAGGAAAGCAGAAGTAGAAAGAACCAGTCCTGCTCTGTAGCATCAACCAATCTCTGAAAGCCAGCCTGCTCTCTGCTCGCCAGGCAATTACACACAACCTGTTGAGTGTTGTCCCGGGAATGCGGTCAGCAAGTCACTGGAGAATTAATGAAATGCCAAAGTGGAGGGAAAGAAATTGCCTGTATAACCTATCCTCAAGGTGCCCTTGTGGTATTTCCGAGAATAAGTCACACAAGAGGAGAGTATATTATACAGCAAGGCAGCTTTTGCAATAAAAAGAAAGTTGTGGTTTATTTAACTCAGTCTACTTCTTTCTTTTTGCTCGTCTGTAGAAATAAGAGCAATCACTGGGTGGCTTCCTTTCTGCTCACGAAAATTCAACGTTCTGCAAAGGTCAGGGGCATGAAAAACTTTAATTGCATGCTTCAGTGTCAACCCTTTTATTAAAACAAGTCATTAAACCCGATAAGACTTCTCCACTTTTTTACTTGAAAGTAAATTAAAGATCTTTTGCCACCTTCCTGTAGGGAGTCAGTAACAGGTTGAGCTGTAAAGGCTAAACGCCCTGTCGCTGTTAAATAACCCTCACCTGACAAGGCTCCCGGAGGCATCTGGATCCCTGGCGGTGACGGTTCCTATGACCGTGTTGATGGGGGCGTTTTCCTTCACCTCTAGTAAGTACATGGGTTTGGAGAAAACAGGAGGCTCGTCGGTGTCTTCCACTGTGATCTTCACGGTGGCTGTGTCCTTAAAGGGTCCGCCGCTGGGGCTGGGCTCCGCACGGATGTTGGTCGCTTCAACCTTCAGCGTGAAAGTTCTCTTGTTCTCGTAATCTAAAGGCTGAATGCAAGAGAAAGCAGACACAATATGTTTCAGATTAAACCAACTCATTTTAGCCCTTTTAAGAGGTGCTTCCTTTAAACTGGGGTTGGTAGTCATTTAAGGTCTTACAGCCTACCCGTGGGTAACCAGACTAGTGCTCTGTAACAGAGGACGAGTCTGGCAGGCCGGGCTAGGTTTTTCTTTCATTGACTAAAGAGTACCAACACATTTCTCCACATCTGTCTATTCCTGAAATGGATGGAACTAATAAATAGATCTCCAGTCTAAGATTCCCTTATTGTCCATGTCAGCCACTAAGTTGTCTATGTTTAACATTGTAATTAAACAAGAGGTTTGAGAGATTTATTCCAAAAATGCTCATTTCACTTTCACAAAATGTAAACTGTGTAAAATTAGTGTTATGTTGTTAAAGCTGCAATGGGTTAGGCTTAGGGTTAAAACAAGTTAGCTTATTTTTTCATGCCTTCTACCAACGTTCTAACACTACAGCTATAAATGTATTGTGGAGATTAAAAATAAATAAAAACGAAATTAAAAATAATCAAAGTGGTTATCTCGCATTCGTCTCATCAAGAGAAGATAATACTTTATCGATCCCCCAGTGGGGACATTTGTGAGTTACCAGTTCAGGACAGAGATCAAAGACTCCAAAAGTAACCACGAATGCAAAAAATAAAATAACTCAAGATACTATATACAACAGTAGTTCCACACAGTAAGCAATATGGATACGAGGTTGTGAAACAATGTGGATATAATAATACATAAAAGTATCAGCTGTTCTGCTACAACTATACGGTTTACTGTCCAAGTGAAGATATCTGTAGCTAGATCAGGTGGATTATGCATGGAGTGGTGACAGCATCAGACTGCCACACATCTGCATTTATCTGGGTCCTCCCCTCATTACTCACGTGTCTGAGCAGAACCTCCCTGAACCGTCTACAGGTGGTTCAGAATGCCTGTGCTCGACTTCTGACCAAGTCCTCCAAACACACCCACATCACCCCGCTTCTCCTCCAGCTTCACTGGCTGCCAGTCAACTTCAGGGTTCATTTCAAGATCCTGGTTCTGGTCTATAGGGCCTTACATGGACAAGCACCATCTTACATTGGTGATCTTCTTAGTCCCTACACCCCCAGCAGGTCCCTGAGGTCCAGTGATCAAAGCCTACTGGTTGTGCAACGCACCAGGCTAAAGACCAAAGGTGACAGATCATTTGCTGCTGTGGCCCCCAGACTCTGGAACTCTCTCCCCCTGAGATCAGTGGATTCAGTGGTCTCCTTCAAAAAGCAGCTGAAGACTCACTTGTTCAAGCTGGCTTTTGTATGACCTTCTTCACCACTCTCTCTTTTTATTCTGCTCTCCCCACCTATTCCACCTTCCACAGGATCCACTGATTTCCCTCTTATCTATTCACTCTCTCTCTTTATTTACATTTTTAATCACAATTGTCTATTTTTTGCTCATTTAAAATATATTTTTAAACATTTTCTAAATGTTTTTTTATATTTTTACATTTTTTGTTTTTGTGAAGCGCCTCGTGATTTTTATCTTGAGAGGCACTATAGAAATGATACTTTCTTCTTCTTCTTCTTCTTTATTACACACTTGTGTATTTAACAACAGAACACCACTGGTGTGAGAGGTTCTCTGCTCAATAATGTCAGAGGAGGAGAAACAGCCAGCTGCTACCACTTCAAGTTTACGACAAACTAGAGTCCCAAAAAGAAAAACACCATTAGAAGGACAAAAGACGTTTGGAAAGCAGCGACTGGTGTTCTCTGGCATTGTGGGCTTGAGTGTCAGATGTACGTGGCCTGGGGAGTATAGCTTATTGGAGGGTTGAGGTTTCCATGAATGCATTTAATAGCTAGCTTGTTTTACATATTTGTTATTGTGGCTTCAGTATTGGAGGGATATGCAGTTCTACCTGTTGCCCAACTAAAAATTGCACAAACTGATTAAATTATGCACTGAGATGTTGGATAAGTGAGGTTTTCTATTTGAATTGCAAACGTGTGGTTGCATTGTACAATGACTTGTGGAGTTTTTTAATCAATGTAAATTGTAAGAAAATATGTTTTACTGTAACAGAGTGTGATGCAACTTTGCCAAATCGCCTAACTCTACTTTGATTTTGCTTTTCCTTTTGATAATTACAAATGGTGTAATAATGCATCAGGTACGAATGATTCAAGATTAATTCCAAACATATAGGAATATCCCATAATCACACGTTCCACTGGAGGCATGAGTTTGAGAATGAATGGAACTGAAATAATTTTTCTATATTATTTAATCCTGAACTCTTGGATAATGTGCTGCTTGAATGATTTCTGCTGGCAGTGCTGGCACTTTTTAACATATCTTATTATGCCAGTAGGAGAGCTGTTTACTTGTGGGACCAGCTGAATAGGCTTTCCAAAGCTGAACCGGTGCAGGGAATAGGATCCCAAATCCCCACGAGCTGAAAGGAAGACGTCCTGGATGTAGGGTTGGAGCACAGCAAAAAGGGGGATGATTTATGTTATTTCTTCCCTCAATCATTCTGGTGAATGTCAATAGTGAGAATAAAAATGGATGAGCTTGGAGCCCTGATGAGAATGGAGGAGAAATGTTCTGAGTGTGAAGTTTTAGAGATCCACATAGCTCTTCTTCCGAGTCTTAGGCATATGCAGATCTGGAATCAAACCCGAGCACAGCAGCAACATTATTATTTGGTCATTTGAACTCAAGTTTTCCTGCTCCAGGTCACAGGGCACTGGAGCCCATTTCAACAACCAACGGTCGACAAGTGGGGCAACTCTATAAGGGACAATACATCACTGCACTTTCTTCTTATTTATCCACCAATACTTTATTTTTTTCTCATTTATTATTCTCATTTTGAATATATTTTACTAATTTACAGAAAAAGCACAGGAATCATCTTGCACACTACAGGATTTCATCTAAGGCTCATTTGACAGCACCAGGCAATGTTTAGAAGCAGCTCCTAATCGGTATTTTTGTTCAAGTTTTCACAATTATTCTTCAAAAAGCCTTTTATAGGAATATTTTATATATGTATTTTTTTTACAATTTAAAGTGTGGAAAAACTACATAAAGATTGAAATTCATTACCTTTAAACTTGAGCAAATATATATATATATATATATATATATATATATATATATATATATATATATATATATATATATATATATATATATATATTTGTGTGTGTGTGTGTGTTTTGGGAGAACAAAGTCAGAAGGAAAGGTTTTCACCGATCAGTATCAGAGAAGGTGACCACACTCAGCTCCTGAACTCTGCTGCTGACCTATTGTCCGGTTTTGCAGCAGCTGTGCTGTGCTACAGCGTGCCTTAAAGTGTTATGATGTCATGTGTACACGTGTCTGTGGAGTGGAAGGATTTTAAAACAGAAAACAAAAACAGTTCAACCACAACACACTACTTGGGTGTTTCAAATCTGTGATAGGGTGACATTCAAATCCATCAGTTTCACACAGCTGTTGTAAAAAAAATACACTTTAGAGAAAACCCTAAAGCTGGGCGGACACTGTGTACGACTTCCTCACAGGGCAGATCTCAGGAGTCATGTGCTCACACTGTACAACCCAGTTCTCGGTTGCGACCTGACTGCTCACACTGTACGTCTGGTCCTAAAAATATGCTAAAAATAGCAGTTTTTACTCAACACGTCAGACTTTTTTGTCTTGTTTTGCCTGTTGTCCTTCGGGAGAGCTGCAGGAGGACACGCAGCGATTTATGGGGGTTGGATGAGTAAAACGAAATAAAGAAAGTAAATCTGTTTTTTGTGATCACTTTAATTTGACATGAACACGACAAACACGCTTTCTTGACAATCTTTGTGAGTAAAAAACGTGTAGAAATTAAGACGAACAACGTGTGTTATTAGGGAAATAGCGGGTGAGCGGCATTGGTGCAGGATTGCGCATGCGCCGTGAGCGGTTCTGGTACTTTTTGGGTTGCAGCTGCTCACAGCGCCGCTTCAACAGTGCGATACCCTCACGAGGGACGAGCGAAATATTAAACACTTCAGAAGTTTGTGCGAGCTCACGATTGCTGATCGGTAGCTGGTCACGTGGTGTTAATCGCCTCTCGTAACCCCCTGTACACTACACGACCGCTCGGCGCAAAACTCGCCCCGATCTCGTGGATTCTCACATGAGTAGAAAATCGGCTCAAAAAAGTGAAAAAGTTGCACAGTGTACGCCCGGCTAAGACGAAAAGAAAGAAAAGCAGAGACGAGACCTGTGAGGTGATAGTGATCACCTCCCTATAGTGTAATCCTACTAATCTGACGCTGTATGACCTCCAACTAGACCAGCTCTAATAAAATATTAAAGAAGCATTTCAGAATATTGCGATTTTTATTGTTTCATACGTTGATGAATTAAAATGGTTTCTTTGTGTTAGTGTCTATGATTTTCGTCAACCAGGCGCCATCAGCCATGAAGTCTGTGACCGTGATGCTTGAGTGAGGAGTTAGCATCTATTGCAAGAGGAAAATGAACTACAGCTAACCTCACAACAGAGCACTTGTGAGCAAATTCTGAACACTTGTAACTGAATATTTGATACTTGGCTGACAACAATCTGTACCTCTCCCATCGCTCATTCATCCACGATGAAGGCTTGTGATAATGCTTTAAGTATTTCCAGGTTGGGAACAGAGATACTTGATCATCGTTTTGACTTTGATCAGTCTCTGCCACTGTTGTTTTCAGAGCTGCAAAAGCTGAAAATATTTTCCACCCTTCACCAGCTTGAACTCCCTGGTAACGCTCGCTGTGACAACCACAATAAATAGACATCTGTTTAAGACAATCAAAAACAGTGTAACATACCAGACACAGAAAATGTTTTGGACTTGTGACTCTGACATTTTTGTTTTATCTATTTTTGCAATTGATGTGCTGAATATTTCTTTACTGATGGCTCATCCTTAATATTTAAAAGAGAGAGG